GCCACGGTGTCTTCAAGACCATGGCCAACGGCGACGTCGTCTTCTTCTTCAACGGCGAGCTCGACCAAAACATTTACTCCTACAAGGTCGAGTACAAGGAGACCGGCCTCGCCTTCACCAAGATCTCGTCCATCCCCTCCGTCAACGCCGACTACCCTGCCACCAAGGCCCCGACAAGCGAGATTGCCATCACTGTGAGTTTGAGTTCTTTTTCATCTGTTCTGGGTCTCCATTTCCTATTTTGTTTTTTGTGAAAAACCCACCCCCTGCACTGTCGCAGATCTTTTTCTAGGCTTTATTTCAATCCTGGGTCGGCCCCCACGGCCTTATGCATCTCCCAAATTAGGGCCAGCGGGCGCATTCTACATCCGGATTGGTAATGATCGTGGTTGTGGAACTCTTTGACTGACAATTCACCCAGCCCGACCAAAAGTTCATCATCGTCTCGAACCGCGATGTCTCGTTCCGCGACTCCCCCGTCCTCGGCTCCGGCCCCTCAGACACGATGTCCACCTTCGCCATCAAGGACGACGGCTCCCTCGAGTTGGTGCAGCTTGCCCCCTCCGGCGGCTGGTCTCCCCGCCAGTTCTCCATCAACAAGGCCGGCGACCTCATCGCTGTCGGTCACCAGAACAACCGCACCGTTGTCATCTGGAAGCGCGACCTCGTCTCGGGTAAGATCATCACCGAGGCTGAGGGTGGTAAGGTTGGTCAGGTCACTCTCACTGGTGCTGTTGTTGCCACCATCTTTGATGAGTAGTGGATGTGCAATAGCAAAGCTCAGAAATCTAGGCCTCAACTAGAAAAATAAATAAAAACACAAAAATGTCAACCAGGCTCCATTGTTTCCAAAATTGAGATATCCGAAAATTAGTGATGTTTTCGGCGATTCATGTATCCGTCAGTAATACTACCAGCACAATGACGGGAAAACGTTCGCTAGATTGGGAAATGTTGCGGCGATAGCTGCAGCCCAGGTCAAATTAGTTATCGAGCCTCGAACCTTACTAGAATGTCTATTATCTGGGGCTTGAAGCGCATCTCACAAAACTTGGGGCCGGGGCCCGGGAGTACCTTACGACGTAAAAATGCCGACAAAAGCTAGGATTCTCATATTCATAATTAACGTAAACGCCCTTACACTTGGAGAAATTGACTGGGGAAATTGACTGACCATTTGATATTGAAGCGATAAGATTGAGTAAGTTCAAGCAAACTACAACTCTAGTGCTTTCAGATGAACCACCGATTACCTTAGTAATTACATGACTTATACATACATCCAGGATTCAAGGCACACTCGGAGTTTCCATAGACATCAGGAACTCAACTCTTGCTTGGCGCAATCTCTGCAGAGTGATATGTGTGGTCCTGCTGCCAAACAATTTGACCCTTCATTTCGGAAGCCCGAACCTCAACCCAGTTTGTAGATTCAACTTCTCGATGCTAACATAGCTGATTTCCTCGCACTTTCTAGAAGCTCACAAACCATGCCAGTCACTATTCAACAGCTCTAATGTCATGGTGCTCCATTCTGGATCCGAACTAAGTGTGCGGTGTTAATAAGCAAGAAGTGTCATCACACAGTCTTGTTACTCTGAGTGCCAGACTTCGAATTTCCGAAGCATGCGGCAATCTGTATAATTGCGCACCGTGTACTGGAATAAACTGTTCCAGTTTAGGCTACTGTTTGAATGTAGATTTTATGTTTCGTGCCGAATGCTTTCAATTGGCAATGCGTACTATATTCTGCATGACGGCTCATTGGATGGATTCGAAATATTATGCAGTAATAGCGCTTATGCATAGCCATTTGATTTCTACGAATAGAAGTTGCCACTTCCTTCAGTTATGGAACTAAATCAGGCGAATGCTGATGCCTATTAAAAGATGAAATGCCAGGTCTTAACTGAAACCCACCGCGACACTCTCAATGTTTGACATACGTGGGCTAGGAATCGCGTCCAGTCTCGGTGCATAGGGCATGGTATTACGGAGTATTTGACATTTTATTGATCGACTGTCCAAATTGCCATGACATACCCTGGGAACTCATTGCGCAGGGAGCTGGAAAATCGCTGGGAACTAGACATACCGGAATACGAATACTCGCCCATCGACCGAGATGCACAAGAGCAGCGCTTCCTCATCCTCCATCCGTGTCCCGGCGACAAGAGCGATCCACAGAACCACGTAAGATGCAGCATAGAAGTACGACCGCTCGCCAAAGCCGGGCCGTTCATCGCTATCAGAGACAGTAGAGGCTATCGGCTGCTGAGGGATGTCATCGAGATCGATGGCAAGGGACTCGTCGTCCCAGTCGCGTTGGAGGTCTTTCTCAGATACTTTCGCGGTCACCGCCTGCCCGTGACATTATGGATTCGGCACATCTGCCTCGAAGAATTCTCCTCAGCAGAAGATCAGAAGGAGTACTGGACCCGTGACTTCCTCGACTCAATGTACGCAAGGGCAACTCAGGTCGTGAGCATGACCGAGGTCGTCACCGAGCTGCTGGAGAGGGGCATAGTGGAAAAGAGGATCCAATCAAAGTATCGAAAATGGGACAAGACCTGGCACTACATTCAAGACAAATCGGAGCCACCGTTCCGGTTCACCTTGCCCAAAATCTATCCAATCAAGCTAGGGAAAAGCCCATCCAACGATGCGACCGTTACGAACCTCGACTACGTGCCGCTCGACATGCTCGTCGGCGAGATCCGTATTCTCGTCGTGACACCTTCAGAGGACCGCGAGGCACCAGTCATCGCCCATCTGGCCCATTGCCCGATGGTGTGCGAAGTGTCCTACCACGCTTTGTCGTATACCTGGGGCAACGCCGGGGATACAGTCGAGATCGTTGTCAACGGCCATAGGATGCAGGTCCGGCGGAACCTAGAGCAGGCTTTGCGTACCATACGGAGCAAGGAAGTGTCAACGCCCATCTGGATCGATGCCTTGTGCATCGAACAACTAAACGTTGCCGAGCGGACTAGACAGGTTGCACGCATGTTTGACATCTATGACCGCGCATCCCAAGTCATCTGCTACGTCGGCGAGCACAGCGACGAGACCGATATGGCGCTGGACTTTGTTAAGCCGATGGACCAGCTCAAGATTGAGATGAATAAGAAGGGTGAGTACAATATCGGGAAAGAGGGGAACAAGATTGGCCCGGATCTCTATCCTGCGCGTTGTGCAGCTTTGTACAAGTTCATGTGCCGTCCGTACTTCAGACGAGTCTGGGTCGTCCAAGAAGTCGCCATCTCGTCAGATCCCGCAGTGATAGTCGACAACCGCAAAGCCGTCGCTTTCGGGTCCCTCGACGCCGCCGCGTACAACTTGCAAGCCATGATTGCTTTCAACCCCGTTCTCAGGACGCAGATGATGAGCGCAGACCCGCAGCTACACCAGTTCGGTCTATCGTACGACGAGCTCATCTTTATCCGTAAACTTTTCTACTTTAGGCACCTGATGGCCGGAGGAGAACTCTACTCCCCGTTCTTCTCACCCACCGTCCGGAAAGACAGCCCTGGCTTTCTCGAGGCCGCCATTCTCACACGAGACTTCCAGGCAACCGACGGCAGAGACAAGATCTTTGCTCTGTGGAATTTGGCGCAGGATAAGGAGGGGCTCGACTTCAAGCTGGATTATAACAAAAGCCGCCAACAAGTCTTTGTTGACTTCGCAACAGCTTGGTCAAGACAGCACGGAAGTCTCGATATCATCGCCGCCTCTGAGCCATGGCACAACGTCGATAACTTCTACAGTCTCATGCCGTCGTGGTGTCCCGACTGGACCGTCCCAGCAGCCACAAGCTGCCTCGTCCGCCGAGAGAGGATCCCCATGAGGTCCATGAGGCTGATGGACGACTTGGACGGCGAGCTTTACTCCGCCGATGGAGGAATTGGACAGCTTCGCGACTTTGAAGAACTCTTTAGCTTCAACAAGGGCATTCTCAACTGTCGCGGCATTGTCATAGACGAGATAGATGAAATCATCGAAGACCCAGGGAGAATCCCCTCAGGACACGTATTCCATCCACCCGATCCAGACGCCTTCTACAAGTTCCAAGAGTGGACAGCAGCCATACCAAAGATCTATAAAGACCGCGAAGCCAACCCGTACGATGATCCTCTGCAAGCAGCCATCGCCATGTTCCACGGCGACGTGACCTCGGCCTGGAATCGCCGCGGACAGGACCCAGAAAAGCTGGAGGCCTTGAGTGCTCGCCTCAATAAGACCAAGGAGCAGAGCGCGTGGCTTCACTACGACTGCATTACTGCAAAGTCGCGCCATATCCCGACGCACGAAAGGCCTTTCAGCTATGAAGGGCGTTGGTGGTTTGATATCGTACAGTCCGTGCTTCGAGGAAGGACGCTTTGTATCACGAAAAAGGGGTACATGGCCCTTTTGCCTTCTTACATCTCTGAAAAGACTTTCGACAAGCCGTGGCTCTTGGCTGTGATAGCGACGTGTTCTGTACCAGTATTGCTGCAAGAGGTTGACAGTGTAGATGGGAAGACTGTGTACAGGTTTGGTGGCACCTGCTTCGTCCAGGGATGGATGGAAGGGGAAATGCTGATGAGACCCGAAGACTCGGTATCGCCGGCTGGGTTCTGGTTCACGGACGAGACAAGGAGGAATGCGTTGCATATTCGTTGAGGTCTTGTCGTTTATTGAGATGGCCTCTGAAGTACCACGATGAAAAGTGCGTGGCTACCCAGAACCCCCTTTCCCTTGTCGTGCTACATCACGAACCCCAGGTACACGGCGTCTATGTTCGATCTTTCTGATATTTACACCAGTCAGAGAACGAAATTTCGATCATGTGTACTACTTACAAAATATGTCTGAGGCAATACATCTCTTCGGCACATTCTATTAGTTACTCAGATTCACATCCGGGGGGTGCTTAGAAGTATCACTCAGCCAGAGACTAAATATGTTGAATCCGTCTATGCCTTGAACTTATGCGTATAGAATCGCACCAGCATTCGCTCTTACTCAACTACAGCGAGCGCACTATTGACCCTATTATTCCCTTCAAGACCCGCAGGAAATCGGTTCTCAACAAACCTCAACTCGACACCCGGCCGGAACACCAAACAATGCGAACTGCCCCCGAAGTGAAACATCCCAATCTCCTGCCCCTTCACAACCTCCTCCCCAGCCCGTACAGTCACCTCGCAGCTAGACACCTCCGTCATACCCACAAACACAATCGCCATCAACCCGATCCTCGGATTCCGCGCCTGGATATACACCACCGCCCGCGTCGCCACGGAAGCGGTGTACGCCTGCGATCTACACGGCGCCTGCGGATCCGGACCATCTGTGTCTTCATTGTCGTTGTCACACGCGGCTATACCCTGGTATCTGTTGACGCTGAAGTACGTCCCCGGAATCATCTCGACCTCGACGATCCGCCCACCCACTGGCGCGTGCCAGCGGTGGTAGCTGAAGGCGTTCAGGTAGGCCTGGTAGATCGTCCCGCCGACGAACTGCGGCGCGAGCGCGTTGTTGTTGAGCATGCCGGCGAGGGAGTACGGCTGGCCCTTTAGCGTGACGTCTGCTCGTAGGGCGACGTCGGATACGACTTGCAGCGGCGCCGACTCGCACGCGTTGACGATGACCGAGGTGTTGTCGTCGACTTGAATGTCAACAGTGCCACTGCTGCCCGTGACAGACAGCTTCTCCCCGCCGTTGTGGTCCTCGTCATCGGGAAACTCCACAGGCCGCACCCCCTCCCGAAACCGCCTTACAAAGAACGCATCCCACGATTCATACCCAAGCGTCTCCATATCCTCAGCATCGGGACAAACAAACAACTCCTTAAACCCCGACCCTCCACCTTCCAACCTTCCATTCGCCCTCTCCGCCATCACAACCTGCCCAGAAGCAGACACCCAAGCCCTCAAACACCCCCTCGACTCCCCCGAAGCAAGAAACTCGCCCCAAGCACTTAACACCTTCCCCATCGCCTCATTTACCTCCGACCTCCGAAAGAACTCGTAACCCGCCGCCGTGCCCATGGGATAATTCAACAAGGCGTTGATCGGCGCGGCCACGAACCCCATGGCATCCTCATTACCCGGCCGGTCAAAGAACTGCGGCCCGGAGCGCATGATGACGTTGACGACCTGCAGGAACTGGCGGAAGGACTGGACGGCGGGTTGCTCTGTCGGGTCGCGGGGCTGGAGGGCGGCGGCTTGAGTGAACATTTGGTCTGCTAGGACAGCGAGGTGGGGGTCATTTTCGACGACGGTGCGGAGGTTGGTGAGGCTTGGGTTTAGGTCGTCGACAACGGTGGCGGTGGCGGTCTCTAGGTTCAGGGTGGGAGTGGTGGTTGTTGGTTGGTGGATTTTGTGGGCGAGCCATTTTTCAGAGGTTGAGACATCTTGGTGGTTTGGTGGCTCGAGGCTAGGTTCGGCGTCCTTGTTGGACTTGAAGCTGTGGATGAGATAGTAAAGCATGATGAAGTGAGGCCGATGAGTTGCTGCGTTTGGGAGTAGATGGTTTCAGTGGCCGACATGAAGGACACCAGAATGTGTGCCGGTACGAGGTGAGTATCGAGACAAATTTGTTAAGGGACAAGATTTATACCATATTTTCTAACAAGCAACGCGTACTCCTGAATGAGACGAACCTTATGAGTAGGCTCTTGTGCCCTGGCATCGACTCTCGATGTTTCACGGGCAGCTAACGTATTGGCAGACGACATGAGACAAAATCCACTTGTCTTACTGCGGGACTGCAGGATGCCGTCAGATCGTCCAATCGGACCACAACCGCAGTCAGGAGCTGAGGCTGGGGTGACACGATTTGCACAGCTTTTGACATATCTGGTGTCAACTTTCAGGCCGATCAAGCAAACGTCTCAACACAGCTTCCAATGTTTCTCTCCCTTCACCGCTACGACTGCGCGGTCCCCTTCCTTCGATACGAACACAACACAACGGGGTCCCGGTTCCGCAAGACTCAGTGCTCGCAAAAGTTCCACTCCATAGTCGTCATCACCCCCATCCCCTGCTCGGCAATCGTCGTCCGCTCCTCCATCAAATCAGTCCGTATCCTCTTGGCCTCCTCGATCCCAATCGGAAAATCCATATTATCAAACACCATATCCGTAACCTCGGGCGGCAACGTCCCCAACCGGTCTCCCGGCGCCGCGCCCTCCTTCCACCACCCCCTCTGCTGCGGCGGCACATTCGCCGTACCAATTATCGGAATCCTCGGGTCCACGAGGAACAGCGCGAGGATCTTGCGGTGGCCCGCCTTGGTCTTGTCGACGAGCTCAAACGGCGCAACGCAGTGCTGGTAGACGTTGGGGAACGCGAGAAGCCTGTCCTCGCGCGTGAGCACGCTGCCGAGGCGCTGGTTCGTGTCCGCGACGGAGTTGATCGCCAGCGTCCGGTCAATGGTGTGGAAGTCGCCCTGCTCGTAGTTGAGCTCCCCCATGAGCTCCTCCCTGTCGGCGACGGTGCGGAAGGCGAGGTGGCTGTCGGTGATATTCTCGTTGTCGTAGTAGTAGAGCGCGGTGGCGGCGATGTGCTCGTTCAGCTGGCCCTCAATGTGCCAGGACCCGCCGTCGTACGTCGGCTTCTCGGGCGTGAGGTGGATGTTGGCGAGCTTCACAATGACCTGGATGCGGTCGGCATGATTGAAGAAGCCGGAGGTCAGGTTGATGTCCTTGGGCTGCAGCTCCATGGGCTTGTACGCGGGGACCGGTGGCTTCTCGATTGGGTGGGTGCGTTCAAACCAGATCTTGTCTCTCCGCCAGACTTCGCGGCTGGGCTCCTCGGCGCTATATCCGCCGGAGTCGTCGTTGAATTCGTCCTCGTCACGTTCGGCCTCGTCTGGGTCTACCGGGCGGTTTTCGGGACAACACCACCGGCTGCACTCCGCTAGGCATTGTGTCCGGGCTGATTCACAGGGGATGCGGAGGATCTCGTAGTCTTCGTGCCACCTGTAGACCAGATCCCACATGGGGAGAGCCTTCTCGAGCACCTTTTCGATGGTGGTGTAGAGACTGGCATGATGCTGGGGGTGCAGGTTGTTGATGTAGCTCATGATTTTCGGCTTGCCCTCCTCGATGTCGATGTCGCACGGGAGCCACTGGTACTTGACGGACCACAGGTCGTCGGAGGATTGGTGGTCGGGATACCTCTTCTTGGGAACGGGGATGACGTCTCCTGTGCCGCAGGCCGCCAGCGTGTCTTTGAGCAGGATGCGCTTAGCGGCGACGATGCGAGACTTTCCAAAGACAAGAGGCCAGAGAGAAGGGTGCACGAGGTCCAAGACCTTGCCGTCGCTACCGGGATGCCAGTCCTTTTCGTTCTCGGGTATATTTTCGAGAGCGGCCACGCCTTGTTTGAGCTCCTCTTTTACTTCCGGGGTGATGGCGCTGTCAGACTTGATGACGGCGGACGAGGCATCGAAGATGGGGATCAGGCCAGTGGCTTCGAACAGCTTGGCTTTCTCGCGGAGCTCAGCAAGCGCCTGCATTGCAGGTTAGGGGTCGCTGTTCAACGAGAAGCCGTCTCAGATGCAGCCTAGTACTTACAAAGGTAAACAAATCGTCGTCGAAATAAGCATACTTGAGACCCACAGCCTTCCAGTCAACAGCCATGACCTCCTGCTTCCACTTTGCAACAATCTCCTCATCAAAGACCTTGACATGCCAATCGGGCTTGTTCGTGATCTTCTCAACGAACCACAAGATGGCGATCTCTCCCCACGTCAGGGTGGATGCCTTCCACTCCTGCACGGCGCTGGGGAACGCGGCATCGTCGTCGGGCATCTCCCAGAATTCTTTGCCAAAACCTGGGCGTATCAGGGGGGCGATCTCGCCGTCGTTCTTCCTTATTGTTAGCCACTATACTACCATGATAGGGGTTGGTTAAGGAAGTCTTACGTAGGCTTGAAAGTCATCCGTCATGTCCGACCGGTCCAGGACGGTCCGGATGACGAATTCGGGGACATCCTTTCCGAACTCGCTCTTGACCCATTCCGCACCGCGCGCGAGGGTTGGAGTGATGTCACCAGGTAGGCTGTCGGCCCACTTGCAGAGTGTGAGCCGCTCGCGGACAGTCAGCGTGGTCGACATATTAGCTGCTGCCAGTTCCATTTGTGGCAGTCAGAGACCGAGTATGATAAGAGCTGATGAAAACAGCCTCGATCCAATTCCTGACCACGATGGTACGAATGATGAGACGATGGGATTGCAGATGGATTTCGATCTATTAGTGCGGAAGATCTCGAGCTCTTGTACAGCACCGCCTTGAGGATCGCTAAGAGGCAAGGATGGGGATCGATGCTAGACGGCCGTGGGATATTTGTGGTTCCAATTAGGCTGCAACGCGTCTCGACGGTAAAGTTCAAATGGTTTAAGGATGGCGCCTAACAGTCGCAGAGGCTCGACCACAGGACGCGAGATTCCCACGAAGTCACGTTGCTTGTCGAATTCTCCCTTTGCCCATGTCTGGTCGTGCTGTTGCCTGCTGCTGCCTGTGATGGTGGGGACCGCCGGACCGCGGAATCGACCGAGCTTCAGGGAGCGGTACTGACCAATGGAAAGCAGCCGAGGAGTCCAATGCCGTGAAACAAGACTACCACCTATCTGCCTCGATAAAGTCTAAGGTGGCATACTGTTGAGCTGGTGTGAGTTAAGAGTGCAGTGCAAATCTGCCCCCGCATGCACGCATGGCCTAACGAACACGTGATGAGTGCAGATGCCGTAGACGGGCCGAGAGACCGGGCCCGCGTGAGTAGAAGACCCGCTATCGGATATGGGAAAGCACTCCGGATGGGTACCGGTCCGGAGCGGGGCGGCGTGGACAAGATCGGAGGCCGAGTCTCTGTCTCCTACCTACATTATTACCAATGGAACGCGCGCGGTAGCGGTCGGATGGATAAATGAGAATAATATGTGGATTCTCATAACGTCAAAGAGCGAGTCGGGAAAATGCGACTGCCGCAGCGCCGCCCGCCTTCGCGCTTGCTTTCCGCTTTCAAAGAGCTGAGTAAGGAGGGTCACCAACCAATCTGCGAAGGCCGAAATGAAATCTCTTCCAACCCATGGGTCGGTCACATTGAGAAACCAGAAGTCGTGAATGCGGTGAATGAGATGTTCCATTTAATGCCTCAGTCGAGTTCACGATATTTTTCCAGAGAAAACGTGAAGTTGCTGGCATCTGATTCTGCTCTTAGGAGCAAAGTGGGCTTCTAGCCAGTCTCCAATGTCTCTCCAACACAGAATCTGGCGGGGAGTGGTGGCCAATCGAACAAACCCCAAATCCAAGCACCGTCAGCCGCGCGGTGTACTTGCAGGGGCTACTTTTCCTACTTCCGTCTGTAAACAGTTTAGTCTACCCGCCGCGGGCAATTCCTACAAGCCTTAGCATATCGCTCGGATGGTGGGGCGGCGGCGGCGTGGTCTCCCGCGCGCGCATGATCCCAGGATAAAACCTCCAAAGATCATCCCCCCTCCCCCTCCATGAAATAAGCCAGAGAACGAAACTTCCTTTGAACTGCCCTTTCTCCAAATACCATGAAAGTGGTAGCGCCTGCAAGCAGAATCTTGTCGCAAAGTAGCCGCACCCGCGCAGTTCATCTCATCTCCAGACCCCATCGACATCCCTTCCCGGCGCACAGCGCATTCGCAAAAACTCACTACCCAATCCTTGAACTTCGGAATATCCGTACCTTCAACACCATGTCTGCCAGCACGACTGAACAACCACAAGCAACGCCGGCGGCGGCAGCACCGTCGATGGAGGATGCCACTCCAGCGAAGCCTGAGTTACCACCTCTGACCCCGGCCGAGTTCAAAGTCTACAACCAAATGGCAGAAAAGATGAACTACTTTGTAAGAAACCCACTCACTCACGCGCCCCAATCTCATCACGCACCCTCATCCCTTCAAAACCTCACACATCCCTGAATATCCTCAATCCTCCCACACACCTAAAGCAAATGAGACAAGACAAGACACTGTCCACACTGCCTCAAAGAGGAAAAAAAAAAAAAAAAGACTAACCTCAAGCCCAGCACAACCACTTCCGCCACCAATGGACCCTCCTCCACACAGCAGCCTCAACCGGCCGCCGCCCCCAAAACATGTCCCTCAAGCAATTCCTCGACACGGGCCTGCAATTCACCCGCCATCTCACGGCCCACCACGGCATCGAAGAAGCCCACGTCTTCCCCATGCTTGCCCGCCGCATGCCCGAGTTCCGCACCGGCGGCCGCGGCGGTGGTGCGGAGCTCCTCCGCCAGCACAAGCAGATCCACGACGGCATGGACAAGTTCGAGGCCTACCTGCGCGCCTGTCGCGACCGCGAGACGGAGCTCGAGCTCGGCGTCCTCAAGGAGAAGATGGATAGCTGGGGGGAGGTGCTCTGGACGCACCTCGATCAAGAGGTGGAGACGTTGGGGGCGGAGAATATGAGAAAGTATTGGACGATGGAGGAGG